GTCATTTCTCCCCCCTGCCCCCACCCCCTCCCTTATTGAGATAGGATCTTGCAAACTATTTCCCCGGGCTGTCCTCCAACTCTGATCCTCCTGATAGCTGCCTCCTGAGTAGCTAGGATTACAGGCATGAGCCACCCAGTGCCTGATGTTCGTGTTATAGTCTTGTTGGTTTCTTAACTATGACTTAGTTTTTATTCAGTGGTTGATTTTGGGGTTACGTAATCACAGTCCTTGGTTGAGTAATATTAAACCACTTGTATAAGAATTTTGCAGTATATTTCCATTTCTCCTCCTTCAAGGATTTTTTTTTTAAGGCATAGTGTATTGTTATTTAGCCCAATTCTTTTTCCCCCTGTTCTGGGGATCAAACCGAGAACCTTGAGCATGCTAGGTACGCGCTCTGCACTGAGTTATATCCCCAGCCTTGTAATGCAGTTCTTTTTTTTCTTTCTTTCTTGGGTTGAACTCAGGGCTTCATACTTGCAGAGCAGATGCTGTACCACTTAAGCCACTCCACCAATCCTGTAACTCTTTACTAGTAGCTAAGTACCCAGACTCTAAAGCAAGACTTATTGACTTTAAATTCCAACATCAGCCCTTAATAACTGGGTGATCTTAGGAAAATTATACATATATTCTGAACCCATTTCTTTATTTTTATAATGGTTCTAGTGATAGAATCTACCTCTTGAGGTAATCCAAATAATGTGCTTTACATTTAACCTTAGAAATCCTATGAGTTCTCTTTTTCAGGAAAATGGAGTAAGTTTGCTTGATCCTGTTAATTTATAACTGATAGAAAACTCTTAAAAAGAATGTGTGGGCTGGAGATGCCAAGTGGTAGAGTGCTTTCCTAATTCTATCTTCTATTGTAACAAGGTAGGTGTGTATCTTAAGTTATATGGAAAAATACACTAAAATTAGCACGTTTGGTCTCTGCCCAATAATTGTTACATAAGCAAGCATGATTGTCTTCAGTATGGGTGTGGGTGTGTGAATCCTTCTAAGTTATGGACCATCATGAATTATAGTATTTTTTAAAAAGTGATGGATGCTGCCATTTGTTTAGAAAACCTATTGCTCTTTATTGTATTTTATTTATTTATTTTGGTGGTCCTGGGGTTGAACTCAGGGTTTCCCACTTGCTAGGTAGGCATTCTATCACTTGAGTCCTGTTCCTCCTGATCTCTGCCACTTGAGTAGCTAGGATTGTAGGCATGAGGCACCAGCAACCATCTTCATTCTTTTTTTTCCGTTACTGGGGTTTGAACTCAGGGTGTACACCTTGAACCACTCCTAGCCCTTTTTTGTGATGTTTTTTTCAAGATAGGGTCTTGTGAAGTATTTGTCTGGGCTGGCTTCAAATTGTGATCCTCCTGATCTCTTCCTCCTGAGTAGCTAGGATTACAGGTGTGAGCCACCAGCACCTGGCTCATCTTCATTCTTTATTTTATATTTTATTTTATTTATGGCACTGAAGTTTGAACTCAGGGCATCACATTTGCTAAGCAGACACTCTTACCACTTGAGCCACTCTGCCAGCCCTGTTCTTTATTTTAAAAAGATAATTGTCCATCACCCATTTTATGAGATGCTGGGTTTAGAGTTACTAAACATACTACTTATCTAAAAAGGACATGAATAGGTAGTTCTCAACCTCCCTTTCTGAGACAACCCACTTTTACTACAAAAAATATATATATATGAATAGTGTATTAGTCCATTTTCTGTTGCTATAATGAAATGCCTGAGTTGATCTTTTTCTTTCTTTTTTTTTCTTATGGTGGAACTGGGATTTGAACTCAGGCCTTCTCAATTACATAGGCACTCTACTGCTTGAGCCACACCTCTAGTATATTTTGCTCTGATTATTTTGGAGATGGGTCTCAAGATCTGTTTGCCTGGGTTGGCCTGGAACTGTGATCCTCCCAATCTCAGCCTCTTGGAGTAGCTAGGATTACAGATATGAGCCACTGGCACCTGGCTCTTTATTTTTGCTTTTTTGGGAGACAAGGTATTGATATGTAGCCCAAGCTGACCTTGAACATTTGATACTCCTGCCTCTGCCTTCTGAGTTCTGGGATTACAGGAATGATGACCATGCCTGGCTGGGCAGGCTACTTTTTTAAAAAACAGGTTTATTTAAGCCAGGCACTGGTGGCTTTTGCCTGTAATCCTAGCTAATTGGAAGGATACAGGTTCAAAGCCAGCCTTAGCAAATAGGTCTTGAGATCCCATCTCCAGAATAACCAGAACATGGTGGGCTGAAGGCATGTCTCAAGCAGTAGAAAGTCTGCTTTGCAAGTGTGAAACCTAAATTTAAACCCCAGTCCCACAGACTGAATGATTGAATGAATAACAGGTTTATCTAGCAGCAGGGTATTGGCTTTTGCTTGACTCTGGTGAAGGTGCACTGTAGCAGGTATCACAATAGCAGGAGTCCTTGTCGCAGGAGATCACATCACCAGACAGGAAGTCTAAGAAGGGTCAGGCTCAGTGTTTATAACTTTCTTCCCAAGAATTCACTGTAAAAGAAGAGCAGTCCCTTTCTTTTTTTTCCTTTTTTTTTTGGCAGTACTGGAGTTTGAACTCAGGGTCTCACACTAGGCAGAGGCACTCTATCACTTGAGCCATTCTGCCAGCCCTGTTTCGTGATGTTTTTTTTTTTTGAGATAGGGTCTCCAGGACTATTTGCTTGGGTCTGACTTCGAACTGCAGTCCTCCTGATCTCTGCCTCCTGAGTAACTAGGATTATAGGCATGAGCCACTGGTGCCCTGTGTGGATTTTCTGAGGACAGTACCCCAGTGACCTAAGCTCCCAGTAAACTACTAAGGACTGAACCTCTAACACATGAAGCTTAGGGAGACACATTGAAACCATAGCAAAGAATAAACAAATTTAAAGCTAGGCATCGATAGCTCAAGCCTGTAGTTGTAGCTACTTGGGAGGCTGCAATCAGGAAGTTTGAGCAAATAGTTCATCAGACTCCCATCTCCAAAATAACCAAAGCCAAAATAGACTGGAGGTATGGCTCAAGTGGTAGAGTGCCTGGTTTGCAAGACCAGAGCTCTGAGTTCAAACCCCAATCCCACCCAAAAAAAAAGTAAAAACAAAAATTCATTTTTCACTACTAATCTCCTTTGTAATTTGGTGTCATTTTATACTTGGAAAGAGTAGTTACATGACCTAGATTGGAAGGAAATGTGAAAAACCAAAACATTTTTCTTTTTTTTAGCAGTACTGGGGTTTGAACTCAGGAGCTCATGCTTGCTAGGCAGGCGCTGTTACTGCTTGAGCTACCTGCCAGCTCCAGAACATACATATATATACATACATATGTATATATATATATATATATATATATATATATACATATATTTTTTTTTTGGCAGTACTGGGGTTTGAACTCAGGACCTATACCTTGAGCCACTCCACCAACCCTTTTTTGTGATTTTTTTTTCTGAGATAGGATCTCATGAACTGTTTATCTGGGCTGGCTTTGAACTGCGATCCTCTTCATCTCTGCCTCCTGAGTAGCTAGGATTACAGGCATGAACCACTGGTACCTGGCTCTCCAAAACATTTTTAAGGGGCTGTGATTGTGATTTTTCTCAGTACAGTAGTTTGAGCTCAGACTTAGCACTTGCTGGGCCAAGTTACTGTGACTATATCACTCAAGGATTGTTTTTGAGTTTATTAAATTTAATAATAATGAACAAAGTTGGCATCTTATGGATGACTTTTGGTCATAGCTTTTCACAGAGTTGGCAGAACTTAGTGAGCAATACATTCCTCTAGGTTGTTTTGTTTTTAATCACAGTACAGATGCAGGTGTTTTCTTTCTCTGACTTTGTGAGCAGCTGAATCTATATATCACCTTCCATGAAGACGGGTGTCCCAGTAACTGGACAGTGAGCCAGCTGTTGGGTGTTTTAGCGAAATAGCTTGCTCCTAAACAGCTTGTTTCTACTTGGCTGCTCAGATCCCAGTGAGAGCTATTTTAGCTGCTCCAGGGAATAGGACACACAGGGTGAAGAATTTACATGGCCTTTGGAGACCTGATTCAAATTTGTTGGGATTTTTGTGCTTTGGCTTTCTGTTGTAGGTGCCAGAGTTTATTGGCTTCTGATTTTCACAAATGACTCATTTCCTGTCAGATTTCTTTTCTTTTCCTTTCTTTCTCTCTCTCTCTCTCTTTTTTTTTTTTTTTATACAGGATGTAGGATTTATTGGTGTGTGTGATTAAGGAGGGGGTAGTACAGTGGAAGTGGAAGCCCTCATGAGTTCAGGGTCTGTTACTTGTCCATGAGACCATGACTGGAGTTACATTTGACCCCACAGCCACTGGAGATGAGCCAATTCTCTACCATGTCTTCAAATTCATTGCATTAAGCTTGGTAAAGCCCCACTTCTTTTAAGATGTGGATCTTCTGGCCACCAGGGAACTTGAACTTGGCCCTGCGGAGGACCTCAGTCACATGTTCCTTATTTTGCAGCTTGGTGTGGATGGATGTAATGATCTGTCTACTGTGCCCCAGGCTTCCCAAAGGCATGCTTCTTATCTCTCTGGAGCCTAGATTGGGGAATCTTGAGATCAAAGACATGAACATCAACTGGAAATCTTTGTCTTCAAGGTCCCATAAGGGTGACCCATAAAAGCAACAGTCTGCATTCACTACTGAGGAGGTTGCCGTTTCAGCCACTGTACCCTCAGTCCCCATGAGTAAAGGAACCTGGTTAACTTAATTGGCCACAGAGCCTGTCTTTTTTAGATATACTGATTTAAGAACTTTTAGGCCCACTGTTACAGTTTCTCCTACCGCTTTTATTGGGAGGAATAAACTGGTATTTATTTAAAGTCAAGCCTGTTTCCATCGCATCCTGAGCGATACCTGTCGTTTGTAGAAAACCTTTTCTCTTCCTGAAAATGGCATTTTAGTGTTTTATTGTTTTCTGTGAGAAAAAGTTTATGACTTATCTTCTTTTTTTTTTCTTCCAGAGGGAATTTGGAAAAGTTGCAAGCAAAGCATCATTCCTCTTAGAAAATTTTTGGTAACTGAAGTTCTGAATAACAGGTAAAGCATTTAAACTTATTTGATGGTGGTGACAATGCATCACCATCTGTGCAAGTGAACTGGGAGAGGGAGGAGACAGTGAGAAGCTAATTTGCTTCGCGTCAGCAACTGTATTAGAGATTTTATGTATATTTGACATAGGTGGTTTTAACCTTGATTTTGGACATAGATCTAAGAATCTCAGAATAAAACCATCATTTGAAATGTTATTTTTAGAGCCAGACATGGTGGCACACACCTATAATCCCAGCATTTGGGAGGCTGAGGCAAAGAAGATCATGAGTTAAAGGCCAAATTGGGCTACATAGTGAGACCCTATCTCTAATATAAAATAAAATGCTGTTTTTAAATGGATTTGTCTATTGATTGGATTTAATGTCCTCACAATTCAGTCTAGCAACCATTTTTTTACCGTCTTCTATAAACAAAATACATACAGTATAAAGAGGTTATATTTGTTGTAAGAGCACTCACTGTGAGCTTTTAAGTAGAACCAGACTCTGCCCTGCTATACAGCCTAGCTAGGGAGTATCTTTCTAGTTTCTTTCTGCCTGTTGTTTTAGTCCTGATCACTGCCAGTTGTTTGTAGCTCTGTCATTTCCTTAATTCCTTTTAACATGTTGTCAGCTGGTCCAAAATTTAAACTTCCTATTAAGGTACCCCTTCACAGTGGAATTCAGGCAAGGGTCTCCTTTATGTTCTCAGTGGTGGTCTTTCTGTGACTGAACCAGATAGCAACACCTGTGTCTAATTTTCTTACCTACATCTGACAGAGTTCTGATGGTCTCATGAAATACTAATATATGTTTAAAAAAATACTGCATCTGAAAAATACATCTCTATAAATGAGACCTACAATTTTACTTTTTAAACCAGAGAAGACATGAAAGCAATCCAAACCTTCCTGGGACCCCGTATGTCCCAATAAGGTGAATTGTCCTAAGGGTGGTAGAGAGTGATGCACTATTTATTCTAACATTTTTTACTCTGTGTGTCTTGAAGTTAGATTTCAAGTATGCAAAGAGGTAGTTTCTAGAGAGATCATGGGTTAAAATTTACATTGTTAAGACTAATTATTGAGACTAAGCTCAGTGCTAGAACATGAGCTTAGCATGTGTGAAGCCCTGGGTTCAATCCCTAGCACTAAAATGAAAAAAGATTTTAATATTTGTTGCTCCCCCCCCCCCCCCCCCCCCCGTCCTTGCTGTATTTTCACTTTTACCAGGGCAAACCAATCTAATCACCATGAGTTGGAGCTTCCTGACTCGCCTGCTAGAAGAGATCCACAACCATTCTACATTTGTAGGGAAGATCTGGCTCACTGTATTGATTGTCTTCCGAATCGTCCTGACAGCAGTAGGAGGAGAGTCCATCTATTATGATGAGCAAAGCAAATTTGTGTGCAACACAGAGCAGCCAGGCTGTGAGAATGTCTGCTATGATGCCTTTGCACCGCTCTCTCATGTGCGCTTCTGGGTGTTCCAGATCATCCTGGTGGCAACTCCTTCTGTGATGTACCTGGGCTATGCCATTCATAAGATTGCCAAAATGGAGCATGGTGAAGCAGACAAGAAGGCAGCTCGTAGCAAACCCTATGCAATGCGTTGGAAACAGCACCGGGCTCTGGAAGAGACAGAAGAGGATCATGAAGAGGATCCCATGATGTATCCAGAAATGGAATTAGAAAGTGAGAAAGAAAATAAAGAACAGAGCCAACCAAAACCCAAGCATGATGGCCGACGACGGATTCGGGAGGATGGACTCATGAAAATCTATGTACTGCAGTTGCTGGCACGGACTGTGTTTGAGGTGGGTTTTCTAATAGGGCAGTATTTCCTATATGGCTTCCAAGTCCACCCATTTTATGTGTGCAGCAGACGTCCTTGCCCTCATAAGATAGACTGCTTTATTTCTAGACCCACTGAAAAGACCATCTTCCTTCTGATAATGTACGCTGTCACAGGCCTCTGCTGCTGCTTAACATTTGGGAGATGCTTCATTTAGGGTTTGGGACCATTCGAGACTCACTCAATAGTAAGAGGAGGGAACTTGAAGATCCGGGTGCTTATAATTATCCTTTCACATGGAATACGCCATCTGCTCCCCCTGGCTATAACATTGCTGTCAAACCAGATCAAATCCAGTACACTGAATTGTCCAATGCTAAGATTGCCTACAAGCAAAACAAAGCCAACATCGCCCAGGAACAGCAGTATGGCAGCCATGAGGAACACCTCCCAGCTGACCTAGAGACTCTGCAGCGAGAGATCAGAATGGCTCAGGAACGCTTGGATCTAGCAATCCAGGCCTACCATCACCAAAACAACCCTCATGGTCCTCGGGAAAAAAAGGTTAAAATGGGGTCCAAAGCTGGGTCCAACAAAAGCAGTGCTAGTAGCAAATCAGGGGATGGGAAGACCTCTGTCTGGATTTAATCTTGGCTGTGCTCAAAACTTGGGCTTTTCATAGTTTATGGTAAGCAGCAGCTCACTGAATAATGACTTCCATTGAGTAAACATTTGGCTCTGGTTATCTTCAGGGATGCTGTTGGCTCATGGTCCAAACTCAGGGGACTCTGAAGGTGGGGCTGGGAAACACTGTGTTCCCAAACACATGTTCTCAGCAGTAGTACAGTTGGAGAACTTTACATTTACGTCTTCCAGATCCAGAGAAGAACAGATAATATTTAAATCATTCTTGTTGAACAGTTTTTTGTATGTACAGTATTATGGTACTTTTTTTTTTTTTTTTTTTTTTAGTATACGAACTTTTTTTTGTATTTGTACATTGGATGGATTGCTGTAGTTATACTTTTTTATATTAAAGGGAAAAAATTATTATAAGTAATGCCTATTAGGCTAGTGTTATTACTTCGTTTAGCAAATTCTACCCTGGGTTTAGAATTTTAATAGATGCTACACTTCTACAAAAAGTGCCTCTCATGTTGCAGGAAAGATCTCAGATATGTAAGGCGACTGAGAAGGACGTTTCAGTTTTCAGTCTTTGGAAGAAAGTCTATATTGTAAAGAGATTGAGAACTTCTCTCTTCTACCTGAGAAATCTTGGAATCTCATTTCTGTGACCAGAATTGTAGCTATTCTTTGAAAGCATGTTTCCAAAGGAGATAAATGATTGACTGCAGGATTCCTTTAAATACCAAGTATTGCCAGTGTGTACTTTGATGATGTGTATGTAATTTAAGTTTTTTCAGAAGACTGATATGAAAAGTGAGTGTTCCTGGTCCATTAGCAGTGTGGAACACTGGCTAGAGTGGATGCTAAGCTGCTTCTCTCAGAAAGTAAAGCCATACCTGGAAAATAAATCCTAGTAGGATGCTTACTTGTGAACCTGTTTGATTTGCCTTAAGCCTCCATCCAGAAACCTGCCTCTCTTTGGTTTCTGAAGAAGCCAGTAATGGATGTTTTATTTATTTGTTAAGTTTAGGGATAAAAAAAATTCCCTGTAGATTAAGAATGCTCAAAACTACTAGTACCACAAATGGCAGAAGGCAGAAGTCCAGATTCCTTATTTTTTATAACTTGCCATAAAACTTGTGATTTTTACCTACTTCTGCCAATTTAGGTTGCTGCAGGAATGGCCATTTTGACTTGGATTCTGTTTGTAAATAGACCAAAAGAGCGGTTCCATATTTATTCCCTGTTGGCCTATGTATTTGTCAGTGACAAACATGAATGCTCATAAAACTAGTAATTTTATTGCAGTCTTCAACCTTACATTATATTGGACAGCTTTGCTTCTCCTGTCATAGTCTTGTGGCTTGTCTTAAAGTGGTGGTACACCTTGGAGCACAAGCTTGGTAAGGTGCAGGGGGCCTCTGCTCCATAAGCAAGCATTCGAGTGTCCTGCTCTTTTTCTAACAGAAAGCTGCTGCAAGTCACCTCTAACTTTGAAATTCTGAAAATAATATGTTTTATGTCTTAATTTTTAAATGCCAGTCCTCCATTATTTAGCAAGTACTAGAGCAGCACCCTTTGTGCATCCAGTTGCTTTCCTTTGTTGTTTCTTTGTTGTATTCCTTCCTCCTACCGAGAAAAAGTACAAAATTTAACCTTACCCTTTGGCCATTCATTTCTTTTTTGCTTTTTGTAATCTTTAAATTAGAGAAGCTCCTCAGGATCTCTAACCATTTTAAGCAGAAAACAAACTCAGGTGAGGCTGAAGGAGCAATTTTAGAAAACAATATACATGTTTATATCATGTACAATTAAAAGATGTTCAGTTTCTTTCAAACCAAATGGTAAATAAGGAAATTCATATAATTCTAAGAAAGCAGGCAAGATTTTAACCATCTAACCCTAAGAGAAAGGACAGAAAATTCACATTCAGTCATTGCAATCTATTCAGAGCCTGAAGGAGGACAGAGTAACTTTGCCAGTGGGAAGGTTAGGAATTTGAAGGATAAAAAGGGACAGAGTCAAGCAGAAATGCCAGTCAGAAGCAGGCAAAGGCATTCATGCCAGAAGTGTCCACTGCATTTCTATGGACAGTGCCCTTGGTGCTTCATCTTGTGCTGTTCTGATGAGAATGTTGTCTTTTGTTTGCGTCTGGCTAGTTCTTCAACTTCTTAAAGCATAGAAGATATCCTAAATCATCTCCTCACATATTCTCCTGCTAAAGTTTTAATTATGATAAGAATTTTCCCACACTTAACTGTCTTTGTAGCAATTTCTTTCAGCCTTTGAACATAGGAGTTTGCAAAGCCATTTCCCCTCATGATGTGTTATGCATCTACATTAAAAAATAAGCCTGTCACTAGTTAGTTTTGTTTTGTTTCTTGGCGGTACTGGGGTTTGAACCTGAGCTTGTGCTTAAAGATGGGTGCTCTACCACTTAAGTCACAGCTCTAGCCTCTGTGATCCTGTCAGTGTCTAGTGTAACCCATTCAGTGATTGTACAGTGAATCTGTAAAGCTACCATTCTGAGGCATGGCAGGCGTTTGTACCAAAAGCCTGTCAGTGATTTTGTGTTTCCTATCAGAATCATACTGTTCTAGATTGGCGGAACATAGAAGACATGCTCTGTCATGTCATGACCTTTGCTTCTCCTCTAAATGCAAGTTGAGTGTTCATTCCTTCTCATGCTGGGTCAGAATAGGAGTACCACATTTGTTTTCCTTAAGTGCAGTTGCATTTGTTTGGATGTGGTGTGCCCATGCCTGATACTTTCTTAAAATCTTTTACTCAGAAGATACTTGTAAAAGGAGCAGGCTTTTGTTCTTCCTTTAAATTTGAAGGGGAGAATTAGGTAACATTTTCCCCTGGAGATGTTAAATGTTCAGTTTGTGAAGTTGTCTTTGCTTATGACTTAGTTTATAGCCTGTTTGTGTATTTGTTTATTTAAAACCACAAGTATGTTATTTCAGTTGAAGTCAGTTTTTCTGGTGTTTTTCCTTCACTGATATCTACGGAATTATTCACACTTGATTAAAAAAATAAACCTTGCCTTCTAAAATGATTCTCACAGTTTAGGACTTTGTCATCCATGTCTTTTAGAGGGTACCTCTATCTTAAAAGGGAAATAATAGCATTAAGTCCCCTAACTGTAATTTCTTCGTGGTATGAAATAAGGCAGATCCCAGTACTCACCAGGCCTGACCCTGCTAGACCGGGTGCATTCAGGGCAGTATGGACAGCAAATCTCTTTTCCAGGTTTTAAGAGTCATTTGCCTTTCAGAGTATTAGCAAGTAGCTAGAGCCTCAGGTAAAAAGGCTTAATAAAAACAACTAGTGGCTCATGCCTGTAATCCTAATTACCCGGGAGGCAGAAATCAGGAGTACTGTGGTTTGAGGCCAGCCCAGGCAAACAGTTTGTGAGACCCTACATTGAAAATACTCAACACAAGAAAGGGCTGGTGGAGTGGCTTAAGTGTCAGAGCGCCCATCTAGAAAGTGTGAGGCCCTGAGTTCAAACCCTAGTACCACTAAAAGCAAAACAACTATTGTGTCTGGTGGTATGACTCAGTGAGACCACTCACCTAGCACACATGGAGCCCTGGGTTCAATTACCAGCACCACTAAAAAACAAAAGGCAATACCAATTATTATTATTGGTCTTGTCTGATCTTGAGCTTCAAAATAATAGTTGATTATTAATAGTAATAAGTATTAATAATTAATAATAATTAATAGATGTGCTTTGGTACTCTATCGTGGTCATCAGTGAGGGTTTGAAACACTTGCTCTGAGCAGTTTCTATCACGAATGGACTTAACTGTTACTTCTGTCACACCTATGATTTACACGTCAGCTTCTAGATGTCCATGCTTTATGCTTGTCTCTTTTAAGAGGCATTCCTCTTCTAAAAATAACATCTAGAATGGTGGTAATTTTTGAGCCAGCCATCTTTTGGTAAAAGGCAAGTGATTTTATACTTGAACCCTCTTTAATGAATGACTTCTTATAAATCAGAGGTCTTTCCCAGCTATGAAAAAAAATTACCTGAAGTCAAAGATACGTAGATGCTGCTCATTTTGATTAGAAGGTTCTGTTATGTTAGTCTCATCTTTGTAAAAATCATGTAATATCTTGAGGTCTTAACCACTTCAAAATAATAAAGCTTCTGCAGCTGTACAGTGCAGTTTGGAAATAAAGTTTTAGCTCACCTATATCATAAATCTGGAATAGTTCACAGACCTCATCAAATGTTAGAACCATTAAACTGAATTGCATAGCACATGTTCTAGCCACACATCATGGAGACTTTTAAGATTTTTATTTGCTCTTGTCCCTAATATAGTTCTCTTGCTTTGTCATTGTTACTTACAATAACAATAAGTGGGTTTTTGGTTCATGTACATTCCATGTTAAGAAAGCAATGCACAGTATTTTAAAATCCAGGAGCCCAAATAAGAGAAAGTTCCACTCCAGTGCAGAATCTCTACAGAGATAAAAAGAAGTAAGAGTTCTGCTCTTTAGGGTTGACTCGTTGAGCCAGGCAAAGACAATTGGCTATTTGCTTCCAGGATTGAAAGGAAAAGTATTTTAATTTTCTCCCAATTATGTTTTCTTTAGTAAATCTCTTACAGAAGTCTCTACCTCAGGCACTAAATGTGTGACATGCTTAACGTAAAGATACTGAAAAACTTAGCTACAACCTTCACCTTTTTAAGATAATTTAAGTATGAAGGTCAACTGTCAACCAGCAATCTGATGTCATGTGGTGTGCACCCTGGATATTGCATGAACAGCTAAGGGATTACCTGTTTTAGTGCCAAAGATCATTTGTTGCTGATTGTGTTCTGTACAGTTTATGTAAAACTTTCATGGTGGAAACAAGCTCTGTGCCCAGGGCCTTGTCATTGGGAAGATTTTGTTCTAAATACAGTTTAGAAGATTAATTTGTGGTCTGTGCATCCTTTCTCAAAACTCAAAGCCCATTGAAAAGTAGGTTGTCAGGAAATACCACATTGAGCATTTTCTCCATCCTTCGTGTGAAATTCTACCAGGTGAATTCTACCAGAACACAATGGTTTACACAGAAAACTTGACACAAGAATCTCTTCTCATATATTCCCCTGTAAGTTGATCTGAGTGGGAATACGTGAGCAGAGAAATTTCCTATTAAAAGTTTGGGCTCTAAAGAGGTGCTTTTCATAGGACTGGAGTTCCTCAGGGACTCTGTTAAGTGGATTGGCATATTTATGTCATAGCAATCTGGGAAGTGTAGGTGGCCTTG